AAAGATTGATCCAAATCAGAGAAATGCAATTCAGCAATTTTTGAAGACGTGCTTTTCTCGGAAATTAAGAGTTCAAGGTTATGAAAAAACCTATTTCTGTGAGAAATGCAATTCGGCAATTCCATAAACACGTGCTCTTCACGGAACTTAAGAGTTCAAGGTCATGAAAAAACTATTTCCGTGAGAACTGCAATTCAGCAATCCAAGCCTCACTGTGATGAAGCACATGTATATAAGACGTATTGGTGTTCTATAAATTTGTCAGTTCAGTTCACACATCAGATATGTTTCCACTGAAAGAGAGTCATTTGGTTTCTCGCGATCTTGATATAGATTCATTGAATGAAGAGAAACGTTGTATCATTCAAGCAATCGAAAGTTTGTTACGACAAAAATTTCCATTGTGCAGAAAATTCATGGCTGGTGGATGTGCCGCATTTCTATTGAACCGAACCTCTTCATATACGGACATTGATATTTATATAGAAAAAAATGAAAATATAGAAGAATGGGCTAAGGATAACTGCCAAGCTAACCGAATCTCTATTTACGTTTATCAATCCAAATGGCCTTGCTGTTATTTGAATTTTGAAGGTTTTCTATTTAACCTTATTTTTATTGAACCTCGTCCTCAAATTTCCTTGGAAGCCAGAATACTAAGAATTCTCAAATCTTTCGATTTAACGATATGCAAAGTGGCAATGTATTTTTCAAGTGGAGTAAATCCAGTACTTGTTGAATGGAAATTAACAGATGTGAATTTCGACAATGTTGAAAAAAAAGATCGCATCACCAAATATAAGAAAAGAATTGCGAAAAAGGAAGTACGATTTGAACCAAACAATTTAGCTATGTCAGCATATACTGTAGTGGTAGATCACGATGATTCCTGTGTTGCTGCTAATAATTTGAAAAATATTAAATAATTTATTGTTGTGTTAAATCGTAGTGCTGATGCTGTTAGAAAAAAAAAAATTATAGAATATATGTGAAATAAAACTAATAAATGTAAATAATTGTTTTATTGAATCCGTACATTCATACATTTTCAAACATTTGTTGGATTATTGGGTTTGCTACAATGAGTGAAACATATTAACACTAAATAAAGTAACACACAAAATATAATTACAAAAATAATTGCTCCTGCAGAAGTAAATATCCAGATCCAGGGTTTTGCCAAACAATATTGTGTAGCATTTTCACCGCTAGAACTTTTGTATCCACTATAATCGTTAATAGTGGTGATATTTGGTGACTTGCATCGGCTTCTGTTTTTGAAGACAAATTCTAGTTGATACTGCAGTTGGCTGGAAACGGATACATTTTTTGAATAAAACATAACTAACTGATCATGTCCATCTTTAATTTCTATCATTTTTCTACAAGTACATTCTTTATTTCTAACCAGAGTTTGTAAATGTACATCTGTAACATTGCTATCAGTGAATAAATACAAATCTTTCTGTATTAAAATGGTCGATAAAATAAGTGTGCAGTTTAAGCCTAACATTGTTTGGATAGAATGAGTACTTTGTTGTTGCGAAGTAACCTATATATGTATTCAACAGCACCACCACCACCACCACCACAATTAGCACTAACGGCTCGCCAAATCCCAGCATGCTACTATTACGGTCATTATCGAGAATATGAGAAAAAGTGAAGCAGACCACACATGATCGTTTCTTAAACAAAAATCAAAGATTTCCTTTGAATTGTTACTACTGTTAATATTTTCGATTATTAACCATTGAGAAAATTGTCGATTTCCTTGTTCTGTTTTTATCTTGTAAGCCAAATAATTTTGCGTTGTGATATTTTTCGCATAGAAGAGATGATAACTGGTTTCGATTATATTGATCGGAGTCATTTTTTCCCAACATTCCTTTTCATACGTCTGAATATACAGAAGAGTTATGTTTGGCGTGGTATAGATATATAAGTTGTTTTCAACAAGCGCACTTAATAGTACCATCACGTTGATAGGCAGAAACATTTTAGACTAGTTATGTTCTTGTATACACACACTCGAATAGCAAGCTTGTAGAGGTGGTAAGTCATGGTAGGGTGGTAGCGATAAACGGACCGAAACAAATTACTATAATTATTTTATTATTTTCTTCTAAAAACTGACTTATAATTATTGATTGCCGTTCTGTCCAGAAGCAGCTCCCTACTCATGGAGGGGACGTACGTTTGACTAATTTCATTATCCCAGTTGTCTGGGCATTCTATTATTGGCGGTGGTGGTGGTGCTCGTGGTGGTGGTGATGGTGGCGTATGGGATGCTCTGGAAGCAGCCTCACGAAGACATCTCTCCCGCTCCCAGGCCTCACGATGACAATTAAAAATATGGCGCTTCAATCGGCTCTCAAGAAGCCTATGGCTTCTGTCAAACGGGCATATGACAAATTGCTCTAAATAAAAAAAAAAAGAAAAAACAATTAGGATTTTTATTTAATAGTAATAAAGACAAGCTTACCCATTTTGTTGTTTATATATATTTTTCTTAAGTGTTGAGGACTGACTGTGATCTTCAATTTGTTGAGGACTGTTATAACTCTTGCGGGTGATCTCCCATTTATACACATTATCAATCCCCACTCTTGCTATTTTCCTCCACTTTTACTACAGATTACATTTTCTTAATTACGCTGAAGTTGATAATTTAGTTGTTTTTCTGAGCTTGCAAAAATACGCGTCTCATTTTTCGCTGATTTTTATTAAATTTGTTGAGTTGTGAGTTACAATCGGAAATTTCGTTCACATATAAATAAGAAGGTATTCCACAGAAAAATAAAGAAAAATAATAGTGCTCTTCTTTCTACTGTGATAAACAAGTTCGACAGCAAAAAAAAAAAAAAGAAATGCATCCGCAGGAAACAGTGACGGCTATATGTAAAGGCTCGCTTAAGCTAATTCATGAATATATTAGTAAAATCAAAACAATCGAAGAAATTAAAAATTTTTTAGTATATATAAATACCAGCATTAGAATAATTAGAAAAGCACTTAGATGTAAAATACATCGAGAAAATATTTTAGAAAATGCTAATTCCTTAGAAACAAGTCTAGCTTATTTAAAATTTTACCGCTTCAAGCTTTTAAATAAAAAAAAACAATTGTCTCTAAAAATTGGAGAAGGTTATTTTAAAAGAGACAAATTTAAACCTACGGCAAACGTAACCTGGCAAGACATAGAATCTTGTTTTGAACAAAGAATTCGTACAGGATTTATAATTAATCATCACATTAAAGATCCTCTTCAGTTTTTTCGACAATCTTTTAAATGTTTTATGTTTAGAATTAGAAAAGAGCTAAAAAACACGATGCTAAAAGTAAATGTAATTTTTTCGGCAAATTTTATTAAACCGCACTCTGGTGAAACAGACGTTAAAACATTCTCCACAAAAAATCAGCACATTGATGCATATACAGATTTAAAGCAATGGTACGAAGAGAACGTTGTTGATAAGATAATGAAGAAATTAGAAGAATTTGCGGAAAAGGACTCCGGTTGGGCGTTGTATGAGATTTTAGGATTGAAAATTAACATAAATAAATATGATCCAATCAAATTTGGTTACTCAACTTTCGTGTCCACACCAGCTTGCATTAAAAAAAAACATGCAATAATTAATGTTCAAAATGATGATGAATATTGTTTTCTATGGGCAATAGTTTCAGCTTTATTCCCTACCGATAAAAATTCACATCGAAAATCGTCGTATCCACACTTCAAAAATGTGTTGAAATATGATAATTTAGACTTTCCAATCACAATTAAAGACATTCAAAAATTTGAAGAACTCAACAATCTTGCAATTAATTTGTACTGCATCGAGGAGAAAAAAGTTTTACCTTGTCGTTTAAGCAAAAGGTTTTTAAATTCTAATAAAGTAATTAATTTGCTTATGCTACCTGCTGAAACACAAATACAAAATACAAAAAACGACAATGATCACTTTGAAGATCGTCAATTGCTCTATCATTTCGTATGGATCAAAAATTTGTCAGCTCTTTTAGCTAAGCAACTTTCCCTCCATAAATGTAAATTTTATATATGCGAAAGATGTTTAAATCATTTCACTACAGAGGAGTTACTCCAAAAACATAAAACTACATGTCAGAGTATTAATAAATATTCCATAAGATTGCCATCAGAAAACGAAAATTATTTGTATTTTCAAAATTATAGATATCAAGAGAAAGTACCTTTTACTATATACGCAGATCTCGAGAGTATTCTTCTTGATTATTCAAAAGACCACATGTCCACTACTTGTAAAACCAATCCTTATCAAAAACATGTTGCATACAGTGTTGCATACTATTTTCACTGTTCATATGATAATTCTCTTTCCAGATTTCGTTTGTATCGAGGTAAAGATTGCATCCAATGGTTTGTTCAAGAGTTAAATCAATTGTCTCATTTTTGTAACAACAAATTTCAAAACATTATATCTATGGAAAAATTAACTACACAAGAACGTGAGCAGTTTGAATCCTCACAAATATGTCATATATGTAAAAAAACATTTTCAGAAAATAACGTTAAAGTGCGCGATCATAATCACTTAACTGGAATGTATAGGGGCGCTGCACATCAGAATTGTAATTTAAATTATAAAGATATTTGTGTTATACCTGTGGTGTTTCATAATATGAGTGGATATGACGCACATTTTTTTATTAAAGAACTTTCAAATTCAATAAAAGGTGACATTAAATTGCTTCCCATCAATAAAGAAAGATATATTTCATTTACTAAATTTGTCGATGATACAAAAGTTAGTTTACGATTTATTGATTCTTTCAGATTTATGCCCTACAGTTTAGACAAGCTTTCTTCCAATTTAGATAATTCACAAAAAATTATTACTCAGACAAATTGTAATAATATGGAAGAATTTTATTTGTTAAACAGAAAAGGAGTGTTCCCTTATGATTATATAAATTCCTGGGAGAAACTCCTTGAAACAAAACTTCCCGAAAAAATGGATTTTTATAGCCGCTTATACGAACAAGATATTAAAGATGAAGATTATTCTCACGCTATCAAAGTTTGGAATACTTTCAATATTCGTACATTAGGAGAATATTCCGATTTATATTTAAAAACAGATGTGCTTCTTCTATCCGACGTATTCGAAGCATTTCGAACTACGTGTTTAAATACTTATCAACTTGATCCCTTACATTATTATACTGCACCAGGCTTAACATTTGATGCCATGTTAAAAACGACAAAAATTAAACTAGAACTCTTAACGGATATAGATAAAGTCCTTTTTGTCGAGAGAGGTATTAGAGGTGGAGTTTCCCAGTGTTCTAATAGATACGGTAAAGCCAATAATAAGTACATGAATAAAGACGAATATGATCCTTCACAAGATAGTACCTATTTAATGTATTTTGATGTTAATAACCTTTACGGAGCGGCAATGTCTCAATGTTTACCGTATGGGAAATTTGAATTTGTAGAAAATTTCAATATTTCAGATATCTTAGATACTTCTGATAATTCCACAACTGGTTATATTATTGAATGCGATTTGGATTATCCAGTAGATTTGCATGAAATACATAGCGATTTACCTTTAGCTCCAGAGCACATGATACCTCCCATTTCAAGGTCTAAACTTAAAAAGTTGTTATTGACTTTATATCCTAAGAAAAATTATATTATACATTATAGGAATTTAAAAATGTATATAAAATTTGGTATGAAAATAAAATGTGTACATCGTGTTCTTAAATTCGAACAGTCTGCGTGGTTAAAGGAATATATAGACTTAAATACAAGGCTTAGACAGCAAGCGAAGAACGATTTTGAAAAAGATTTTTTTAAATTAATGATTAACGCTATTTATGGTAAATGCATGGAAAATGTTCGAAAACATAGGGATATTCGATTGGTCAGTAAATGGGAGGGACGATGGGGAGTTCGTTCTCTTATTTCTAAACCAAATTTTCACAGTTCCGTTGTATTTGATGATGATTCAGCTATCATCGAAATGAGTAAATTAGAGGTGTTTTTAAATAAACCAATTTATCTCGGTTTTTGTATTTTAGATATTTCTAAAACTTTTCTCTATGAATTCCACTATGGTTATATTAAGGAAACATTTAACAATAATGCAAAGTTGCTTTACACCGACACTGACAGTCTAATTTACGAATTTCATGTAGGTGATATATACGAATATATTAAGAAAGATTCTTCGGTTTGATACTTCAGACTATGATTTGTATAATGTTTATGGTATAGAACAAAAAAATAAAAAAGTGCCAGGTTTGATGAAAGATGAAAATAACGGTAAGATTATGTTAGAATTTGTGGGTCTCAGATCGAAAATGTATGCATATAGAGTTGCAAAGGATGATTTTAATAAAAAGGTAGTTAAGAAATCCAAAGGTAGTACGAAAGCTTCACTTAAAACAATAACATTCGAAAATTATAAAGAATGCTTATTTAATAGCCGAAATTACGAAAAGTCCCAAAATCTCATCAAATCAAAACATCATATTGTTTACACAATAAAACAGGAGAAAATAGTTCTCAGCCATAATGATGATAAGAGAATTGTTACAAGATTTGCAACGGATACGCGACCTTGGGGATATCATATTTCGCCACCAGAAATGTGAAGAGTGGGGAATTATAATATAAAAGCAGTTTAAGTTAGCTGATGATTTATTCGATGTTGGTGATTTCACATTACTACAATGTCTGACTTGAGACAGTTTGTTGATTTGCAAGCATTTTGTGCATCCGAAAATGTGTATAAAATTTATCTTCGCGCCGCTGCGAATGATAGGACAAAATTAAATTTGTTCCTTTACATTATTGAAAAAGCCGAATTTATTGTACCGGATGAAGTATTTAAATGGATTGCTGAAAATGAAGTTGTTTTTTTTACTCTTGACATATGTGTACTCCTACAAAAGAAACAATCTCTTGACAGTTATATTGATGCATTTCTAAATATATGTGAAAGAGACAACATTGAAAATTTAAATTATGCTTCTTTGGAGTTTTTAATGACCACCAACTACCTTGATAATTCACTAGTTTATAAATCTTTTATTTATAAATTATTAAGTGATCATCGCTGGCAGAATCTGGGGGATATCTTCTATCCTGTTGAAAATATCCAGAAAAATTACCGACGGATCGAGCAATGTGTTGACGAATTTATGTGTCGAGCTGCATATTTGGCAAATCACAAAGCACTCACTACATTCTTTGAGGCTCTAACGATAATCAATTACGATTCCTTCACATTTAAACCCTCTGAAAATCAGGAGCACAAAAGAATTTTCACCTGGCTCAAAAAGAACATTGTCAAAGGTGAAGCTAATCCTGAATTACCATTAGGATGGACCGAAGGACCAGATGCAGCAAGATGGCCCTCAATTAAATTAGATGATTATAAGAAAACTTTAGATGTAATTTTTGGTTGTCATAAATAAAATACACAAAAATGGTTGTATATGTAGTTTTATTTACCCCTCAAACATAATACATTAATTTTAAATACAGTAACATTTTAAATTATTCACAACACTCTGACGACATCTTGTGCAGGAATGTATTTTACCATTCGGTCGTGAAGAATAAGACAGTAGGCTGTGGTGTCTGCTGGAATACCTGCGGTCGTTTCAAACCACAACGTAATTGTAACGGGGCCTCTCTTCAAAGCTTCCGTTTGTTTAGAACAGTCGATTACTACTATGGGTGTCTTTTCTTTAAATTCATCCTTATCGAATAATGGCTCGCTAGTTTTGGATAAGAACGATGTCTGGAACTCTTTAAACATATCATAGAGAATTGCATAACGATTATTTGTGAAATCAACATTCAAGTTGTCGTAGGGATACATGGTATCGTTAAGATACAATTTGACATCTCTCAGATTACAATGATCAAATTGACTGTAGTTTTTCTTCAATTGATTTTTTCTTCCCTGTTGCAATGCAAAAAGTATGTACTGAGGTTTTTCTAAGGAAGTTTTAATAGTCCAAGTATTAGTTATCGATTGAACTGGTGGCGCAAATTCATGTAATTCTTTACTTCTAAACATAATATCCAATTCCCTGTTGCTTCTTACAATATCGATCAAGGCGATCCTTTCGGCATCGGACACGGACAAGTGATGCATTTTCCAGCATATTTTACTAAGTTCTACTTTAATTTTGTATTTATCATTTGAAGAAATTAAAGCATTTACATCGGTATTAGAACGAACTAAAACAAGCTCTTGTCTTACATTCAAAATAGCCTTTTTGAAATCTTCGCAAAAGCCAAAAATTATTTTTAATGGAATCGAAACTTCAAAAGTTCCATTTTCTTTAATTATATTCGAATCTTTTTTAGGAAACCATCCAGCATTCTCTAGAGCTACGCTTTCATTACTGTTATACGTTACATATCCTTTCATGGTGGACGCTAACCCTGGGTTTCTAATACTATCCACAACGACTCCAGCAATTTCATATCTTATTTGATTAAACAACAAAAGAACGCCATTATTTACAAATTTGATTTCTGGTTTCTGTACAATTTCATCGATTTCATTTTTCACAATAATCTTACCCTCTATATGCAATGTACTCAAATGAGGAAAAGTGTATAAATCTTGATGTTCAATTGGAATTCTTATTTCATCATCATAGTTATATGAACTGTTAGAATAAGGCAAGTGTGTATGTCTTTCTCCATAATAAATTGAATGATCATATGCAGCTTTTTCGTTTACGTGTAATATTTCAAAATTCATTGCTGTTTTTTATACTGGATAAAAATATTATTTCAAAACCGTTAATCCTAGAGATTCAAGAAATCTACGATTCCCTAATGTTAAACGTTTGATCCTTGTAGAAGGACTGACTGATTTTCTTTTCATCGTTCTATTTATATATACCGAATTTCGGTTTTTTAGATTTTCATTAAAAATAATACCCATCACGTGAGCTTCTTAAGATGCAAACGTACACCCACCTCTTCACCTCTAAAACTAACAATATTTCCTTCTTGATCTGTTATTTTAACGATTATCTCATCTATTTGTTTCGTATTAATTGGTAGATATATAACATTTAATGGTCGCTCCACTATTTTGTAACCGGGAGGTACTGTTGGAAAAAATTGATGTATTACGTGAACGGGATTTCCGTTCTTATATGAACCAGTTACTATATTACAATAAACGCAAAGAGCATTCACTTTTAAAATTTTTGCTGGAAAATCTGATATATGAGTTTTATGCGCTTTCAGAATGTTGTTCTTAAATCCTAATAAACTTCCTAAGGAATCCTTTCTTGAAAAATTTATATCAAGGGTACATTTAAGTTCCGATTTTAATGTATTATTATTTCCTCTGATTATTAAGTTTGGTGTTGACATTTTAAATTTCTTTATTCTATTTCCGTATTCGTCAGTTTGGTATTGAAAATAATGTTCCATATAGTTTTTGATTTCTTTATTTAAATACGACTCAATGTCTTCTATTTCATAAGAACCCTCGGGAATTTCTATATAATGCTCTTTTTTGTCTGGTGTAAAAAAATAAAATTTGTTATTATTGTTATCGATATTTGGAAAAGAATTCCAAGTAACCAAACTTTCTAATCCTAAAGCATAGTTATAATCTTCCAAGATAATTGGTGGATAGTATCTGCTCGAAAGTACAGAACTGTTTCCATCCAATGAAAATACGTTCGACATCGTAGTACTTGCTTCAACGACACTATCAATTGAACTAAAACGCTCCAACTTCGAACAATTTTATTTGTAACAGTTATATAGAAATCGAGACATAAATGTCCACAATTAATAGTTTTAAAAGTCTGTAAAGCTTGATGATTATATACTATATTACAGGAACCGTTGCTCTGTAAATATTTGATCAGTTCAAGAGGTGGCCTCAAATCTCCATAACTATCGAAGTATATAGCTTCATTTCGAGTTTTTTTATAAGCTGTCCAATGTGTTCCAGAACCTTCCTTATTGTCTAGATTTAATATACCACACTCATTAAGGTGCACTTTATTTGGAAGCGAATCTTTCATAAAAACTCCTCTGAAGCGAGGAATTTTCAAACGCTTTACATATTTGCAAATGTCGATGTTGGTGAGAGCATGTTTTGGAAGATTTATCGGGAGTTCTTTTGAAATTTTGATGGGGCTAAAAAAAGACCATATCCTCTTTTATATGGTTTCAAATATAATCCACTCCCTGACTTTCCTACAGCTATCGACTCCATTTTCTGATTGTGTCTTTGGTTTTCTTTCAACTGTTCTTTAGCTGATTTAGCATCGTTAACAGCTTTTGCAACGGCTGCTGCACCACCACCTAAAGATCCCAGAGCGCCTAAAGCGGCAAATATTGGTAGTAGCGGTAAAAATCCACCACTTTTCGGTATGGGTATTATACGTCTGTGACGAAGAGGTCTCACTCTCTTTTTTCCTTTTGATGATTTTACTGCTCTCATGGCCACTTTTACAGCATCCTTCATATTCTTAAATTTCTTATTTTTTAAAGCAAGCCTGGCGGATTTTCTTAAAACGTTAAAATTCAAGGCCTTTCCACGTCTAATAGTTTTTCTTTTGATTCGACAACCCATACCAAGTTTTATTTTAGCTTTCATAGCAGCCGCAACACCTAAGGCAGCAGCTTTTTCCCCGAAAGATGCGTCCGAAGAACGTAGTCTAAGTTTTGCTTTATCTAATAGAACTTTATCGGCTTTATGTCGATTTTCCAAATCTTTATGTTCACTAGTAGTTATATAGTGGGGGTTCTAGACCAGGTCAAATGAGGTCAAACTGGTCCAGCTCCCCCATTACTTTTCATCGAGCGGTCATTGACCTTTCATTTGTTGTCGAGCTTGTCGGTGCACGTGGCTGACCTTGCCAGCTGGTCCAGCTCCCCCATTACTTTTCATCGGGCGATCATTGACCTAGTCGTTGCTCGACCTTGGTCGTTTATTGCCCTCGTTCATCTCGAGATCTATCCCCTCTTTTCGTTTAGGTCGGGGAGGGATCTCGGACGCAATCTCGCATCCCCACTTCCGTTTTATACTTGTATAAAAGTCGATGGATTCGTGTGTAAGAATTAATTAGTTTTTTGAATTCAATTATTTAACACTTAGAAATGTCATCTTTCATTTCTACCTTGAATAAAGAGTCTCACTTGCAAGCTTTTGTGAGTGCGAAAACTTTAGAAGAAAAT